AGAATTTGAATATTTCTCGTAACTAAAATTAAAAGAAAATGTTCGATAATATTTGATTATTATTTTTTAAAAATAAATAATCATTATTAATATTCTTAAATTAGATAAAAATATATAAAGTTCTTATTTAACAATAGGTAAAACAAAAGCTATATCCGAACTAACAAAGGCTGGTAATAAGAAATGAGTAAAGTACACAGAACTTTCTGTAGACAAATTAAAAGAAATTTATGAGAACTCAAAGGTCAAGACAACTCATAAGGCAATGAAATAATGGTTAAAGGTGTTAGAAGAGTTCCACTCTGATGTTCGATATAAGGGTAAAATCGAAGAAGTAGATTCAAAAATGGTCTTGAAAGACTAACTGTTAAAGTTTGTATGTGTAATGAAAAAAAAGAGATAGTGGAGAGTATCATGCAACTTTGATTAGATGTTGTTTGGCAGCTATTTGGAAACATTTGAACCAACATTCAGTAATGGAAAAGCCAGTTGATATTTTAAACTCAAAAGTATATTTTGAATTAAACCAAGTAATCAATAGAAAAATAAAAAACCTTTTAGCGATGAGTTTGGATGAACGCACTGAAGTAGATGGTTTGACATTGAATGAGGTAGAGCTTATATTAGATCACCCAACAATGCAACGTAATAACTCTGAGAGATTGTTACGAAGGATCTTTTTTTATAATGCAACTTTGCTTGCATTACGAGGAAGTGAGCATTGTAGCCTTCAAATTAATTCTTTTGTTAAAAGATTCAATAGCAGAATTGATATGAAGTTATTCAGATCAAAAACTAACTAATGAGAGCTTGATGATTATGATATGCAAGCTGAAATAATCAGCTTGCCTAATATTAAAAGTATTATTAAAGACTATGAGTTCTATTTTATTAAACGTCTAGTAACTGCTGTTTTAAACTTTTATTTAAAACCTATTTCATTAAATTCAGGTAAATGTTTTATAATAATATGTTTTTTATGAAAATACACTAATTTTCTTTTATTTAATTAAGTCGAATTTAGTGGACAATAGTATTACAAATATGCATTGGGTGAACAAACGTTAAAGAAATACTTTCGTATGATATGTAAAACTACAGAGATCAAAATTGGAACTTGGAATATATTGAATCATTCAGGATGAAAGACAGCAGTGCAATTATTAAAAGAACTTAGATATTCAGATACAGTAGTCATATTAATCACTAGACATAAATCACAAAAAGGTCTTGCTACATATGAAAGACCAAAATCAATCATGTAGCAAGAAGGTCTAAACGAATTTTTTAATGCATTATTACAAATAGCAAAAAAAAAGACCAAAAGGTAAAAATTTATATATTATTGTTTGTTTATTAAATTTACAGCAATTAACTATTTTTTCTTTTTTTTTTTACATAAAGTTCACAAAGAAAATGATATTCCCGAATACAATGATGCCTTCAGCGATAATGATGCTTCAAGTAATAATAACTCTTCAAGTAATAATGATACCCCCACTGATAATAACACCTCTACTGACAATGATGCCCCTACTGATACTCCCAGTAATTATTAAGTTGCTGCAGTAACTAGCGATTTTGCTCTTGCAAGTTCATATTTTCAACGAGCTGATTCACAAGTTTCATTGGTAAATTTTCTTAGTAATCTTGAAGTATTTCCTCTGCATAATGTGTTGTCTGAGCTCCACTGAAACGTTCCTGAAAGAAAGTAAAAAAGGATCGGGTTAATAAAAAAGATAGTAAAGAATTAAAAAATAAAGATTTGTCAAAAAATTCCTTACTGGTAATACTTTTCATAATTGTACATTTAATTTTTAAATAATTATTAGATTAGAGAATTGTATGTAAATGCTGAATTTATGTTTTAAATAGCTTTAACCTCATTGCATATATACTCAAGTTAAATAGTTCGAACTTAATTAGTACCTTGTGTAATATTTTAAAAAAAAAAAAAAAACCTAACCTAATTATAACCTTCGCTCTAGCCAAGACAATTTAAAATATCATAGCCTTTTTATAACCTTTGGTGCAATAATTAAAAAAAAAAAAACCTGACCTGATTATAATTCTCACCCTAGTCAAGACAATTTAAAAGATTGCGGCCTATTTATAATCTCCACCCAGCCAAGACAATTTAAAATGTCTCAGCTTAATTAGAACCTTTAGCTATGTCAAAACTATTATTAATGTAAAAATAACTAATTTATACCTAGCTATTAATATTAATGCAAAAATAACTAATTTGTGTATAACCTAAAAATTGATTATTCAGTATTACGTCATAAAGCGTTAAAAAATAACATGCAAAAACTGCATCATGATTATATAAGTTTGTCAGATAAATACTAGTTATTATATCTTTAATACCTTCAGTAATTAGTTAACAAACATAATATAACTAATAGTATAACCTCTTAAAAAATACTTACTTTTCAGTATCCTGTTTATGCTAACTTAAATTTTGCTCAATAAATCATAAATTGATATCATTAATATCACTAAAGTAGTGATATCTATTCTCAAACTAAGATTTTTATTTATAATAATAATATATTACTAATACTAAAGTATAGTTACAAAGTTTTTGAGCTGCAGATAAATCATATGAGCATAATATTAATACTACTCGAATTATTTTTTCAAATAGATTCTCATAGATTAGAATACAAATATTATCTCAAAATTTACATAGCTTATCAAT